AACCTGTTTCTTTGAAGAAAAGAATGTTTCCAATACGTTTTGTATCTTTAAATGAATCACATCAATTTCTTCTTCTAACTTTTTTAATCGTTGATCTTTTTGTGAAAGTGTTGTTTCTACTACATCATGTTCTAACAACTACAAATAATGAAACTCAAATGAAGTAACGAATTTTATAAAATTAAAATAAACAAATGGTAATTGTGATTATACTAAATATACTAACTGCTTCATCTATTTTCTCTTGTAATTTTTTTATGGATGAATCTACATCGTAAAATTGGTTTTTCAACTTTTCAAGATCTTTTGTGATACAGCATCCCTTAAATTAGTTACATGTTACTAATTTATTGATAATATTTAATACTATCTTATTCAATAGCACATTTTAAAATTTTACTTGAATTATTTGTAAACTGCTCGATGTTTGTTCTATTTCTTCCATTACTGAACATAGCAGATCATTACAAACACACATCTCTGTACAGCCAGATGCAATATTTTCCTAAAATTCAGATAAAATAATTATAAAATTATGATAATATTATTGGTCAAATTAAATTAATAGTCAATTAAAATTTAAATAGAAAAATTAAATTTAACCTGTACATTATGCTGCATTTCAGTAATGCGAGCTAATAATCTAGATTGAGCATGATTTATTTCATTTTTTATATTTTTTAATTTATTACTTCCTAAAGCAATTCTTTCATTGTGCCTTATTTTTTCTTCTTCCTATAATAAAAACATTTATTCGTTAGAAAACAATAATATTAAACATACATAATTAAATGTAATAACTCTTACTAGCAAATGCAGTTTATTAATTGTTTCAGCTATTTTTTCTTGACATTTTATTAGCTGATTTTGCACATTCATCACTTCTTTATTTAAATCAATGTACTGTAAACATTTTATATCATTAAGTAAAATGGTATTAACTTGCTTTAACGAATTACTAACTACTAACTCTTGCTTAATGATATGGTATTAATGAACTATAAACTTGCCTTTTGATGCCTATGTTTAAAGGAAGAAATAATTACATTTGTTTCATCTTTGATATCTTCCATAGTAATTTGTGCTTCTACAGCACATGCTCTAGATACATCCATTAATTTAAATTGATGATTAATGTCTGTACATGGCTGAAAGCATAATTATTTTCTGTTCATTAATTTCATAATTTGTTACAATTTATTGTTTTATAAGTATTTAATATTTATATTAAACATTT